GCCTTAAGTCAAGCTACAGCTGAAGTGATTTGGGTTCAACATCTCTTTAAGGAACTAGGGATTGAAGTTAAAAAGACTCCCATCATTTGGTGTGATAACATGAGTGCTGGAGCCTTATCCTCCAATCATGTCTTTCATGCTCGAACAAAGCATATAGAGATAGATGTACATTACGTTAGAGAGCTAGTTGCAGAGAAAAACTTGGTTATTCAATATGTCTCCACCGAATTTCAGAAAGCTAATATCCTAACCAAAGCTTTGTCAGGCAGCATATTCAATACATTACGGGAGAAATTGAATGTGTTTTCTATCTTACCTAGTTAAAATTGTTGTGTTGAATGATAAAGCAGTTTAGTAGAGTTGACAGCTCATGTTTTTGTATCAGATCAAGGAGTAGGAGGATAGAAATCAGCTTTATTAAGTAATGAAAATACAAGTTCCAGATTTGAAGTTTGTCTTTACAGGAGAATGTTGTTGAGCACACTTGCAGGTTATTGTAGAACAGAGTTGAAGTTTCTTTATTACAGGAGGATGTTGCTGAGCAGAATGTAGAACAGAGTTGAAGTTTCTTTATTACAGGAGGATGTTGCTGAGCAGAATTGAAGTTAGTTTATAGAAAAAGCATGTTGCTGAGCAGAATTGAAGGTTACTGTAGAACATAATTGAAATTTGTCTTTACAAAGGAATGCCGCTGAGCAGACTTGAAGGTTACTGCAGAACAGAACTTTTACAGTAGAATGTTGTTGAGCAGAATTGAAGTTTGCACAATCACAGAGTTTATAGAAAGTGAGAGAGTCCAATTTATGGGGTAATATTGAGGAAATGGATTGTAGAGTAGATTGGAAGCAACAACTGTTCACCTAGTCAAGGGAGTTTGATTTAAGGGAGAATATTAAGATAAAGTGATAAAGAACTGGTGTAATCTTTCCAAGTCAAGAGAGTTTGGTTTAAGGGAGAATGTTGAGATAAAGAGACAAAGAACAGGGGTCATTTTTGTAACAATTAAAATGACTGGGACTGTTTTAAAATTAGTTGATAACTAGCAGTCTTATACTCTACGTTTTCAGTATTATATCAGCTGTATAAAACACTGCGTTTTGAGTATTGTAATATCAGTATAAAAGAGCTTCTTCTTTGTGAGAGCTCAAGTAATGAAATCAGAAGTTACCCACTTAAAACTCCAGCTTGTGTAACTAACTTTTTCCCTCTTTTGCTTGTATCATTTTTCTTCTTGATTCTAGTAGAATCTCTTCAAGGGCATTCTTAGAATTTATAGGATGCAATAAGAAAAAAATTTAATTTTCAAACTTTTAATGGGGTGCTTTGGAAATAGGGTTTCTTTAGTCTATTAGTGTTGGGCAATTGAAAGTCCAATCAAGCTAAGCCAAGTATTGAAAAACTTGAACTTAGCTCAGTTGAAATAATCGAAGCTTGAGCTTGAGCTCGATAGGTATATGATCGGCTCGAGCTTGACTCAAGCTCGACTCGATTACAACCAAGTCAAAATTGAGTCATGAGTTGGGATGGCGGCGTCGTAGCCAGCCCAGCTTGCAATCAGAAGTGACGACACTGCTAGCTCAGCTGCAAGCTGGAAGATAATAAGATAGGAGGTTGTTAATGGAAAGGGAACGGGAAAGAAAAAGAAAAAGGAAATGAAAGGAAAGGAGAAGAAGAAGAAGGAATAGGGAAAATAAAAAAGAGAGAGAAGGAAGGAGGAAGAATAGAGAACGAGCTATTTTAGATCTATGGTTATGAAATTAGAAAAGAGAAAGAAAGGGGAAGAGGGAGAGAGAAGAAAGGAAAACAAAAATTCTAATTTTATTTCACCTTTTTTTTAAAGGGAAAAGACTATATTGCCCATAATATATATATGTTGAGCTCGAGATATCTTACGAACTGCTCGAGCTGAATATTGGGAAGCTCAAACTCAACTCTACTTGAACTTGAGCTAAACCCGAACAACTNTATATATATGTATGTATGTATGTATGTATGTATGTATGTATGTATATTTGCAGGGATCTGTGTAGCTAGCATTGCTAAAGATGCATTGTTGCAAAAAAAGGAATCAACACAAGAACTTATGTCCATCATGTGTTAAAGATGTGGAAGTGACAATGGATTCACAAGTGAGGCTAGGAAGTACCTGGCCTTAGGGAAGGCGGCGAAAAAAGCAATGCAAAAGGCATTGGGAGATCTGAAGGTCATGAAAAATAGAAATGCTTTGTTGAAGGTTGATGCTGTGCTGGAAGTATATTTTGCTGGAACTGAAACCTTGAAGTTGGTTTTGATGCAACCAAAGTGACGTGCATGGTGCTATTTTGAGTGTAGTAGTTTAGGCTTAATTTGTCAACTTGTGTGTTAAAATATGACTTAAGTAACTCAGCTTATTTTGAGGCTTTGTGTCTCTAATATGTAATGTAGTTGGTGGATTTATGTGGATTAGCTGGGATTGTGTAAAAGTCTTACTAACAGTGGTTGTAACAATAAGCAAAAGCATGTTATATGCAGTTCTTGTTTGTTAATGAAATCAGATTAGTTCCCTTCAGTTTTATTTTTCTTTGCACATCCGGCATAAGCTAAAACACCAACATGGTATCAGAGCTGGATTAACAAACTATCATCTAACAAATTCACTCAAAAAAACATCTTGAATCACCATCAAACTTCAACCTTCCGAAGAACAGCAACTGTAACTTGGTTTCCATGGCAACTCAGTCGGCTTCTCTCTCACCTCCAGTGTTCAATGGGGACCAATATCATATTTGGGCTGTTAGAATGAGAGTCTATCTAAGAGGACAAGGGCTGTGGTAGTATGTGGAAGAAGAAAAATAGCCACCACAGCTTGGTCCAAACCCCACCCTGAATCAAATGAGGATGTATGAGGAAGAGATGTCAAAAGCTCCAAGAGCCCTCTCTCATGTACACTCTGCAGTAACAGACCTTGTATTTACAAGGATAATGGTGTGTGAAACTGCAAAAAAAGCTTGGGATAGACTGAGGGAGGAGTTCATGGGAAGTGATACAACCTGAAATATGCAAGTTATGAACCTGCGAAGAGAGTTCAAAATGCTAAGAATGCAGGAGGTAGAGAAAGTAAAAGAGTATGTAGACAAGCTTATGAGTGTGGTGAACAAGATTAGATTGTTGGGAGTTGAGATGAGTGACAAGATGATAGTTGAGAAAGTGTTAGTCAGCCTACCTGAAAGGTTTGAGTCCAAGATATCTTCCTTACAAGATTCAAAGGACCTCTCACAAATCAACCTCACCGAATTGGTCCATGCCCTTTAGGCTTAAGAACAGAGAAGGCTGATGAGACAAGATGACTCCAATGAAGGTGCAATGATGGCTGCTTAAAAGGGGTTAAATGTGCAGGGAAGCAATAAGAAGTATGCTGGAGATAAGAGAGGAAAAGAGAGAACTAATGGACAGTGGGGAAAACCGAGTGGAGGAAGGAATTATCCACCATGTTCCCACTGCAAAAAGAAGGGACATCCAGACAGTAGGTGTTGGTTCAGACCTGGGATCCAATGCAGGGGGTGCAAACAGTTCGGGCACATTGAAAAAGTGTGCAAGAACAAAGGTGCACAACCATCACAGCAAGCACAAAGTGCAGAAGACAAGCAGCAGGGCAGTGAACTTGAGCAGTTGTTTGTAGCTTCATGCTACTCTATGCAGACCAGCGGTGATGTTTGGCTAATAGATAGTGGTTGTACCAACCACATGGCAGCAAAATTGGAGAATTTTGTCAGGATGGATAGAACCTACAGCTCCAATGTCAAGGTTGGAAATGGTGACTATGTGGAGGCAAAAGAGATTGGAGATGTGGCTGTCCAAACTCAAGCAGGTACCAAGATCATTTCAAGTGTTTTATTTGTCCCTGAAATTGCACAAAATCTGTTAAGTGTAGGTCAAATGTTAGAGAAGAATTACACTTTACATTTTCAAAATCATGCTTGTGTAATAATGGATTGTGAGGGAAATGAATTAATGAGTGTTAGGATGTTGGGAAAAAGCTTCCCAGTAGAGTCGAAAAAACCAATGAGCTTAGCACTAGCCAGCAGGGTTGAAGAGTCTGATTTGTGGCATAAAATGTTTGGCCACTTTCATTACTTGGGAATTAAAGAACTTAAGGCAAGAGAAATGGTGCTGGAGCTGCCTGAAATAGAGGAGAAAAAGTCCTTATGCATAGCCTACCAACTTGGCAAACTTAGCAAGCCATCATTCCCTTCGGATCAAGCCTGGAGAGCAAGTCACAAGCTGCAATTGATCCACACTGATGTGTGTGGTCCTATGAAGACTGAATCCTTAAATGGCAGTAGGTACTTTGTACTCTTTATTGATGATTACTCAAGGGTGGCTTAGGTGTATTTTCTGAAGCAGAAAAATGAGGTGGCTACTGTTTTCAAGAAATTCAAGTTGGTGGTGGAGAATGAAGCCGGAACTTTGATCAAAACCATAAGGAGGGACAATGGGACATAATACACCTCAAATGAATTCAACACAATTTTTAGTGAAGCTAGAATTCAGCATCAGTTCATAGCCCCATACACCCCTCAACAGAATGGTGTTTGTGAGAGAAGAAACCAAACCATTATGGAAATGGCTAGGTACATGATGACTGAAAAAACCTTCCTAAAGTGTTCTAGGCTGAAGCTGTTAATACAACAGTTTTCCTTCTGAATAGGCTGCCCACCAAGGCAGTCAAACGTCAAACACCAATTAAGGCATGGCGTAGAGTCAAACCAGCTGTAGGAAGCTTGAAAGTATTTCGAAGTATAGCCTATGTACTAATCCCAGCAAGCAAAAGATCCAAATTGGATGATAAGGCTAAAATTGGGATACTTATAGGCTACAGCAGCAACTCTAAAGCCTATAGAGTTTATATCCCTGAATCTAGGAAGATTGTAATCACAAGAGATATAAAGGTTGATGAAGGTGTAGTCAGGAACTAGGAAGAAAAGAGAGTTGATGTGCAAGCTAAATCAAGACAAGAAGAGATGAATGAGGAGTTGAACCGAGAGGCAGATTCAGATGAGGAAGAAGAACATGCTGTTAGAAGGACAAGATCATTGGCTGATGTGTATGAAAGGTGCAATGTGGCAGTGGTGGAACCAAGATGTTATCTTGAAGCTGCCAAGTCTGAATTGTGGAAGGCTACAATGCAGGAGGAGCTCAGCATGATTAATAAAAACCAAACCTAGAAATTGGTACAAGACCTAAAAAAAGGAAAGTAGTTTAGGTGAAATGGATTTTCAAACTGAAAATCAATCCTGATGGCTCAATCTACAAGCACAAAGCAAGGCTGGTGGTCAAGGGCTTTGCAGAGTAACCAGGTATTGACTTTTCAGAAACATTTGCCCCGATAGCTAGGCAAGACACAATAAGGTTGTTGTTAGCACTTGCAGCTCAGTTTAACTAGAAAATGTTTTAGCTGGATGTCAAATCGGCATTCCTTAATGGGTGGATTTCATAGGAGATTTTTGTGGAGCAACCAGAAGGCTACAAGGTTGAGGGCAAAAAGGATAATGTGTATCTGTTAAGGAAAGCCTTGTATGGCTTGAAGCAGGCCCCTAGAGCTTGGTACAACCGAATAAATGACCATTTGTGCAGCCTTGGTTACACCAGAAGTCCAAATGAACACACTCTCTACATTAGGAAAACTGGAAGGGGTTTGGCTATGGTCTCTCTCTATGTTGATGACTTATTGGTGACTAGAAGCAATCCTAAAGAGTTGGACCAGTTTAAGTCAGCCATGCAAACTGAGTTTGAAATGACTGACTTAGGATTGATGAAATATTTCCTAGGCATGGAGATAAGTCAGACTGTAGGTGAGATTTTTGTATGCCAACAAAGGTATGCAACCGAGATTCTCATGAAGTTTGGAATAGAGAATTGTAAACCAGTGGATACCCCACTAGTTCCCAACCTGAAACTGAGCAAAACTGATGGTGCAGAGAGGGTGGATGAAGGGAAATACAGGAGCTTGGTTGGAAGTTTGTTGTATTACACAGCCACTAGCCCTGATCTTATGTTCACTACAAGTTACCTTTCAAGGTTCATGAGCAACCCAAGTGAACTGCATTTCAAGACTGCTAAACGTGTGCTGAGGTATGTAAAAGGAACCATCATGTTAGGCATCTATTTTAGGAAAGCTGAAAGTCTGAAATTGTTGGGGTATACTGATAGTGACTGGGGTGGATCTCTGGATGATGCAAAAAGCACCTCTGGTTATGTATATTACTTGAATCAGGGTGCAATTTGCTGGCTGTCAAGGAAGCAGAAAACTGTGGCACAGTCTACTGCTGAAGCTGAATATGTCTCTGCTGCAGCAGCAGTGAACTAGGTTGTATGGCACTAGGAAGATGTTGGATGATTTGCACCAAGTACAGGGTGGTCCTACATTAATCCTGTGTGATAACCAATCGGCAGTGGCCATGGCAAAGAACCCTGTGCTCCATGGCAGAACTAAGCACATCAAGATTAAATATCATGCAGTAAGGGAAGCTGAACAATGTGGTGAAGTGAGCTTAATGCACTGCAGAGGAGAAGAACAAGTTGCTGACATTATGACAAAGGCTTTGTGCAAATCCAAGTTTGAAGCCCTAAGACTATAACTTGGTGTTTCCAGCCAAAGCATCAAGGAGGAGTGTTGAAGGTTGATGCTGTGCTGGAAGTATATTTTGCTAGAACTGAAAGCTTGAAGCTGGTTCTGATGCAACCAAGTGACGTGCATGGTGCTGTTTTGAGTGCAGTAGTTTAGGCTTAATTTGTCAACTTGTGTGTTAAAATTTACTTAAGTAACTCAGCTTATTTTGAGGCTTTGTGTCTCTAATATGTAATGTAGTTGGTGGATTTGTGTGGATTAGCTAGGATTGTGTAAAAGTCTTACTGACAGTGGTTGTAATAGTAAGCAAAAGCATGTTATATGCAGTTCTTGTTTGTTAATGAAATCAGATTAGTTCCCTTCAGTTCTCCTTTTCTTTGCACATCCGGCATAAGCTAAAACACCAACATGCTTTCTCTAACGCTGACAATGAGAGCATTCTAAAGGAGGTGGAAGCAATCACTCTTTATTGTCTTTTATCTCTGGTCCAAAAGCGGATGATCACTATTTTCCATACTAATGCATCACAAAAGAGTGGCTTGTGTAGAGGAAGAAACACAAGCAAATGAATTTGCGAAGGTGGATGCTTCATTGCAGTTTCTCATTGGTGACAAGACATGCAAATCTGATAACATGAAGCAAGTTGCAGATTTGCAGAACCAGCTAAAGAACCTGGAGTTGTGCATTCAAGATTTTGAGGATGGACTTGAATGCTTGTATAGACGTTTGACAAAATTAGAGTCACTCTTCTCAATACATTCTCAACCGCTAGCTAGCTAGCATACAAATTAAAAAAATCATGTCATATACTTGTTATACCCTGTATATAAATGAAATAGACTTGAATTTCAACTCTAAGATTACATTTTCACTTTCATACTCTTTTGCACAATTACTTTTATTTTTTCGCACACTTTTCCTCTCTGTCAGGAGCATTACTTTATAGATGGGATTTAACACTTAATTCGTATTTATTCATCATATTGATATTAATAATCTGGCATATGCCAACTTTGAGAGTTATTCATTGTGAAAACAACCAAAAACAAAAAGGGAAAAATAAATAACTACAAACAAACATAGAAAATGAGCTATTTCATTAACTAGCTAGAGAAGACAACCTTTCAGTGACAAATTTCTGGTTAACGGAGCTTTCAGCCGCATGGGAAATATATCCAATTCTGATAAGACATTGATTCAAATGAAAGAAATTCAAATTGTATACTGAAATATATCACAAGTGTGCTTTAAGTTACAATGAAATATGCTGGCTGTCTTACTGATATGATGCTCATTTCCATGATTATATTCATCCTTCGCCATATAGGCTAATATGCAGAGACGTGGCAATACCAAATATATATGGATCTTACTGTCTAAAAATTTTGATTTATCAAAGATGACCGTTAACATTAAGTTTTCTAAACATATCCATGTTGCACATTATCTGTAATTTTCTTAAGAATTGAAAATAGCCAGATTGTTGTCATTGTTAGTTTCTCAAACCTCAATATATAAGGATAGGGATAAGATAAGGTCAAAAGCTTTGGTTATTTTACCAAACTAAAGTAAGTAATTCATATCAAAGTAAAGGAGTGGGCATATTTATATACATTGGCAATTTCCATGAACCTTTTGAGTTATGACTGAATGAGGTGGTGAATGTGTATTCGTTCTTTACCTAATTAATTTGTAAAAAGTATCTAGCAGGCTAGCAGCTTGCTTAGATACGTGGTCGACCAACATTCATGATTCATCAAAAGAGGCAAACCATATCCAAGTCCAAGTGCAAGGCACCAAAACCTAATTATTTAATTTCAGCATTTCTTCCAAGATGAACACATGCCATGGATATTCTTCAAGGATATCCTTACTTTCATATATATCTGTTTTCTACACAATTTTCTTCAAATTCATTTCAAAATAAATTAAGATTTCATGTAATAATTAATAGAGTACACGCATAACTAGCACCCCAAATACTACAAACTCTATATTACATAACAATTGTTTTACTTATAATAGAAATTATATTAATGAATAAAGAGCAACAAGTTAACATTGACTCAGAGCTTATACATGTGAGATATGCTAAAAATAAATAGATAAAACATATGGATTACTTCAACTTTGTTTTTACCATATATTGGGTAAAAACCAACGCATTTGAAAATGTGGTAAATTCCTGAAACTTGGGAAAGCACATAATATTTTTTTATCTTTAAAGTAAAAAATACCCGATTCGCAAGAGGGTTCACAAAATAGAAGATTTTCTCCCGGATCATAATCTTCCTCGTAAACATGACCATTCTCATCCAAAAAGAAAATGCAATTCCCTTCCAAGTAGTTGAGATTTCTATCTAGAATGTATGAACTATGTTGTGACACAAATAATATTTGATCGTCCAAGCTATTTAACCTAGCTGTATCGATGGATGAGATAGTAGGATAACCAATCTTCAACACATAAAATCCACAAGTTGAGTCATAATTAAATAGAAATCTAGTATCATAATGATCATAGTAGTCTATTTGAGTAGCTGTATGTTCAAGCATCTTTTGAACAAGTAAAATTTCACCTTTGGACTCCACCAAATATGACACAAGCCCTCCACAAACCGATGTCAATCCTAATTCAATTCTTGGATATCAGGACAGGGGACTGATAGCATTTTGAGAATAACATCCTCATCCCCTATCCTCAATGGATGTGTTTCAAGAAAATGTAATTCTGTGTGGATCAAAGCATGCAATATTCCATTAGAATATAGGATGTCTCGTAAGTAAGTATCATAATCCCAGATAGTCCAACTCTTGTCTTTTGGCCTGCAAATTGCCAACTTATCATATGGAAACATGATTCCTACAATTCTAACGTTTGTAGAATCTGTCGATGATAATTCAAATTTAACAAAAAAGTGATCAATATCTCGTGAAACTTTCAATTTAGATTTGTAAGTTAGGTAAGTTTGAAAAGATGGAATTGTCGTGAGAGGAGGTAGCTGAATATGTATACCTGAGATTGGATTGAAGAGAAAACTCCCAAATCCTCTTCTCCTTCTCATCATCACTATGATCTTTCTCCTCTTTCTTTTCGAATTTGCTCTGTAACAGAGTTAACATCTTCTTCAAAAGGTTTGCCATGGAATTGAATGGAAAATTTCAAGAAATTTGATATAGGGAGGGAATTATGGTTTCTTATGTCAAAGAAGTATACTAGTATATATATAATAAGTTTGTGATATGCTTTTACGAGTAGGAATAGAAATTTGAATATGAGTTAAATTTATTAATTTCCGATACCAATAGGATACTGATTCTACTGATAGAGTAGGAGTAGGAATTTAAATAAGAATAAATTTATTGACTTTTAAGAATTTTAATAAGAGTAATTTATTAATGAGTGATGCTATATACGCATCCCAGCAATTAAATTATTAGCCCCTATTTCTATATAATATCTAAAATTACCCTTTTTATTTTTATTTTTTATTTTTTCTTTTAAAAAAAAAATTTCAAGACATTGCAATTAAATTTCTCAATTCATAAGTGTTCTAAAACTAGTGTTTCTTAGCACTACTATCTATATAAGAGTTAGAAATTACCGTGGGTCTTTTTTTATTTATTTTTGGCAAGGATTTAAATTGATATAGGGAATTATGGTTTCTTGTGTTAAAGAAGTATACTTCTATTTATGTAACAAGTCTGTGATATGCCTTTAAGAAAATAAATTTGATTAAGACTTAAATTAATAAATTTCCAGTACCAATAGGATATTGATTCTACAGATTTGAGATAATTTACAACTTCACTCAAGAGTAGGAATAGGAATTTGAATAAGAATTAATTTATTGATTTTTAAGAATTTTAATAAGAATAATTTATTATGTTTACAATATTACTTCAGCTTTGTTTGTGACGCTGTATATGGTTGGTGTGCTCGAAAATTCAATCAAGGTTAGTTTAAGTTTAGGTGTGAAAATCAGTATTTAGTTTCATGTTGACTTAATGCATTTGGGTGTATGCACGTTTTTGTGTATTTAATTCTTTTATGTTATTTCAAACAATGGAAATGAGAATGACTTTATTTCATGTTGACGGTATACGTTAATCCGGAGTTATAGTCTTTCTTTAAATTAATGTGTTGTTGCCCAGTTGAATTGAATCCTTGTTTAGCTTCTTAATCAATCCAGTGTGCTACCTACAATATATTTTAATAATTTCTGCTGTTGTGATTTTTTTTTTTTTTGGCTTGCTAATTTTTGATGAATTACATAGAATGTTTCGTGGTTATCATCAATAGAATAAATTAGATGGGAACTTCAACCCTTTTTAGCACTGTATCTATAAATTTATGAACACTATACAAGAGTACGGGTTCTTAAAGATTCAATTAAAAACATTCGGATCAAGCAACATACTATCTCTCTTTTTTTTATTTTTTTTTCCATGGTTGATAGTTCAAGTATATAATATAAAGCGGAATTTAATCACTTACCTCTAGTCATATTATTCAAGTGTTGTCGAAAGCCAAACATGAATGATTTGTGAGTGAACGTTTGAGAAATGTCTTCTAACCTATGTCTCTAGAACCTTTTGTGTTTTTGTGATATCTCGTTGATGGAGAAGATGATATCTTTATATATGATTAGGCTAGGGACCAAGTAACTCTCATCAACTGAACCTTCTATTAAGGATCAAGACAGACAGTTAAATAACTCATTTAAACCACTTTGAAC